GAAGGCCGGTCGCAGCCGGAGCTGGGAGGAGCGGGACGGCCTATTTTTCCACGAATGGCCGCCGCTGGGCTGTGGCGTAGCTGCCTCTCTCCGCCCGCCGCCGCCGCCTGCCCCTGAGCCCGGCGCCTGATTGACAGCTCAGAGCCAGCCGGGGGGGAAGGAGGGGCGGGGCCCAGCGAGGCCCAACTGACGCCCACTGAGCAGGAAACCGAGCCCAGCAGCCGACTCGGCCGCTCCTCTCCGACGGAGCTGGGCTCCTCGCAAATGGGCGGGGCTAGGCTAGGGCGGCGCGAGCCAACTACCGAGCCGGCTCCGCGCGACCCAAGCCCAGAACAGGCAGTCGGGGCCCTCGCACTGGGAGGGAGAGGGCGGGGCCAAAGCTGTGCGAGCTGCGGAGCAGGCGAACTAAGCGAAGTCAACCTTCGCCTGCAGCAGGGCTCCCCACGCTGCCTGACAGCGCGAAGCGAGGCAGGGAAGGGGCGGAGCCAAGCCGGGGGTGGTGGGCGGCAAAGCGCCTCCGTGCCCGTCGCGAGCAGCCAGAGCGCTGATTGACAGCGCGCGCGAACAAGAAAAAGAACACGTGGGCGGGCTCGCGCGGCATGAGCCAACCAAACGGCAGCCGGGTACCTAACGCCCCCTGACTGACAGCGCGCGGGAAGGCGCTGGGCTGTAACCGCCAAGTCGCCCGACGCGGCCCTCCCCCGCCTGCCCTTCAGTCACCCCGGGCTCAGCCCACCCCCAACTCTGTGAGGGACCCGCTGCCCCCTGTGTCGGTCTCTCTGTGGCCGCGCCTCATTCCTCTGTAGGCCCAGCTGCCGAAACGCTGCAGCCTTCCCAGCGCGCTCTCCCTGCGCCCTGGCACCAGCCGGCAGCACTTTGCCGGGGAAACTGAGGTGTCCTTTCCCACCCCGCAGGGATATTCCTCGCACCCGGCGGTGGGATGGGGAGAGAAGGGAGGGAAGTGGGTTCGCCTTGCCGATTGGCCCAGGAGCAGTGAGGAGCATGCTGGGATGTGTAGTTCCTGGTATGCGCATGCGCTAAGGGAAGCCCTCGGGCAGGCTGCAGGATAGGTTGGGCAGCGTGCCGCAGCTGGGTTGCACCAGAGCTCCCAGGGGGGAGGCAGGGCTGGTGCTACCATTAAGGTAAACCAGGTGGTTGCCTAGGGCCCCAAGATTTGGGGGCACCAAAAAGCGATGCCCCCAATTTTTTTTTTACAGCGTTCCTGGGCTGGGCTGCCAGCGGCGGCTCAGACGCCCTCTCCCAGCGCAGCGGCTGCTCCATGCAATTATTGTCATTGCCGGCGGGGGCGCCGGCGGCTGGGCAGAGCTCCACAGCTCCGCTTAACGCACGTGGCACGAGCCCGGTGACGGGCGTGGCAGCAGGGCTTCGGGAGGAAACGGGCGGCTGCCTCCTGGCTCAGCCTCTACGGTCAGCCCCAGCGGGGGGGGCACGGAGAACAAAAGAGCCTCGGGCAGAGGTCCAGTGGAGGAAGAAAGAGGACCCCGACACCCGTGCGTTGGGCAAGGTAAGCGCTTCCCTACAGCTCGGCCTCGGGCGCCTGTGCTCCTGCTCCTCTTGGTCCATGGCTGGTCTGTGCTCCTGCTCCCCTTGTGCGTGGGTGGCTGGAGAGGACGGCAGCCTGCAGAGCTGAGCTGCCCCACTGCACCCCTCTCCCTCTCCCTGCCCCAGCCTCTGTCATGCCCGGTATCTGGGTTTTAAGCCCTGCAGCTGTGTTATGCCTGCAACAGGCAGGCCTAAGCCTGTGAGTGACCCCCATAGCAGCTGCCTGAAGAAGTGCTTGGGGGAATCACGCAGAAGGAGCGTGATATTTGTTTGAATTCTCTCCTCATGGAGGCTGCGCTCCACTTGGCGCAGGACTGCAGTCTCAGCAGGACTCTAGGCCCAGCACCTCGCCTCGGTTTGTAGACTTGTAGTGCACCCCTGTCACCGGGCTCGGTCTGGCACCACTCAGTGGTGGCTCACCAGTGCCCAAGAAGCAGTCAAAAATGTTGGATGGACTGGTTAGGTTAGGTTAGTTGTCATGCTGTTGCTTGGCCAGTGTAGAGACCACTGAATGCATAATATTCCTCTATGATGTTCTGTCCTTAGCAAAATTGACATGTTATGAGGTAGTGCCTGTGAGGGACAGGTGTCTGTTTATGTCATCCAGCCATCATGTCTTAGGTCTTCGGGGTGTGGTGGGGGAGCTTTTCCATCCTGCTTTCATTGGATCAAAGTCAAAGATTATTCTCACAGGGAAGTTAGTAGGCATGTAGAGCAGATGAGCATACCACCACAGAGAGCACTTGGCAACCATTTGAGAGTGTGTGACCTATTTAGTTAGAAAATGGAACTTTTCATTCAAATTGAGTTTGTACCATTTGATGTTTTTAATCATTTGGAGGTGCATGGATGGTTGGACAGAATGGGTTCTGCAGCACTCCCAGTCAGATTTTGATATGAAAGAATGAAGGAAGGAAGTATACGTGACTAAAAAGGGTGTATTTCTGATTACAATCAACATTGCTTAATTTTAAGGGAAAGTCATCTTGATCTCTTAATCAATATTTACATCAAACAGTTGATGAAATTCAAATAGTGACTTATAGTAAGTGACATGTATTCTCTATCCTTTACTTTTAATAGTGAACAAGAAAAAGAACTGATAGGAATAAAATTTCATTTTTTTTCCGTTTTCAGTTGATGCAGCCTCATGGCGAATTAAAAAAAAATTGTCTGGGTCACAATTTCGTAAGCGGAAGGCTGATAAGCAAAAAGAAGAAAGAAAGCAAGAAGATTCATTTCTGAAATATCTCCATCCACTGTCCAGAGATGAAGGTAGTTCAATGCCAAAGGATCAAGCAGAGATGGAGGTGGGGATGAGAGTTTCACAAGTTGAAGAAGAGGTTGAAGAACGTAATCTGAATATTGAAGACGAATCAAATGAGACATGCGAGGATCAAAACTTGGAAGACCATGAAAGTGAAAATGTCACTCGTTTGAATTTGAGCTTTAGTGATCCTGCTACTTGGGCCAAATGCAATGATCAAGTCCGACAAATTCTGGTGGAACATGGGCTGGAACAAGTTTAGCAGTTCGATTTTCGCAAAGATAGTAAGCAAAGAAAATTCTTGACAATTCATTACAAACATAGACTTGTTAATGGAGAAGAAATGCACCGTCAGTGGCTGCAGTATTCCACATCAAGTGATTCTGTCTTTTGCTTCTGCTGCAAGTTGTTTGGCAGTAGTACTATTGACACATCATCTCTTTCTGAAAAAGGCTCAAGGGATTGGAAAAACATGTCTGCAATTCTTTCACAGCACGAGAAAAGCAGTGAACATTTGACGAATGTTCAAACATGGAAGGAACTTGAACTGCAATTGAAATACAAGAGAACATTTGATGAAGAACATTTGCGCTTGATTAAGCAAGAAGAAAAGTATTGGCAGCAAATACTAAAACGTTTGATTGCTTTGGTCAGAGTTCTTGGTGTGCAAAACCTGGCCTTTCGGGGAACACATGAAAAACTGCACACTTCTGGTAATGGGAACTTCCTCAAATTTGTCGAATATCTAGCTTTGTTTGACCCGCTTATGGATGAGCATCTTTGCAGGATTAAGGACCAGAGATGCATGTACATTACCTAGGGAAAGACATACAGAATGAGCTTATTCAGCTTCTATCCAATGCCATCAAACAAAAAATCCTAGCATCTGCTCGTGCTGCAAAATACTTTTCGATCATTCTAGATTGTACACCAGATGCAGACCACGTTGAACAAATGACCACGATCATTCGGTTTGTGGATAGGCCTACTTCAGAGACCGAGAATGAGACTGAATCAGTATGCATAAAGGAACACTTCTTGGGATTTGTGTCGCTTACTGAGACAACTGGAGCTGGTATGACAGAAACTATTCTTCACCAGTTAAAAGAGATGTCACTGCCTATAGAAAACTTGCGTGGTCAAAGCTACGACAAAGGGAGCAATATGAAAGGGAAAGAAAATGGTGTCCAGCGAAGAATTTTGGATATTAATCCACGAGCCTTTTTCGTTCCTTGCAGTGCACATTCATTGAATTTGGTTGTTAATGATGCTGCAAAGTGTTGCTTGGAGGCAACTGCCTTCTTTGATTTAGTTCAACGTGTGTATGTGTATTTCTCAGCTTCTACACATCGCTGGGAAGTTCTAACACGCCACGTATCTAATCTCACAGTTAAACCATTGAGTGAAACAAGATGGGAAAGTCGAATCGATGCCTTGAAACCTCTTCGCTATCAGCTTGGTGACATCTATGATGCTCTGATAGACATCTATGAAGACACTACTCTAACAGGATCATCTGGCAATACGTCACGAGTTGATGCAAAGGCTCTTACAAACGCCATTTCTAGTTTCAAGTTTCTTGTTTCTCTTGTTTTGTGGTATGACATATTGTTTGAGATCAACATGACTAGCAAACAACTTCAGGCAAAAGAATTCGACATATGTGATGCCATTAAACAACTTGGAGAAACCAAGAAGTTTCTTGTGGGCCGCAGAAGTGACGCAGCCTTTGAGAAAACATTGGTAGATGCAGGTGAACTTGCGGAGGAGTTGGATGTACCGGCACTTTTTGAACCAGATCCAATCCGTATTAGAAAGGAGAGGAAGCAGTTCACATATGAAGCAGATGATGAACCTATTTATAATCCGAAAGAAAAATTCAAAGTGAACTTTTACTTTGCAGTCATTGACACAGCAATACATTCGGTTGAAGAAAGATTCACATTGATGCAGCAAATTAGTTCAGTATTTGGCTTCATATATGATGTTTACAGTTTGCAAAATAATAAATAAATAAATAAATTAATGGAGATATCCCATCTCCTAGAACTGGAAGGGACCTTGAAAGGTCATCGAGTCCAGCCCCCTGCCTTCACTAGCAGGACCAAGTACTGATTTTGCCCCAGATCCCTAAGTGGCCCCCTCAGGGATTGAACTCACAACCCTGGGTTTAGCAGGCCAATGCTCAAACCACTGAGCTATCCCTCCCCCTAAATAAGTAAATAAAACACCAAAGCAAATTATGGAACATTGCTTGAATCTGGAGCAAGCTTTGCAGCATGGTGAATCCAAAGATATTGATGCCTTTGACTTGTGCAGTGAATTACAAGCTATTGCAAGACGAGTCCAAAGGAGTTCATCACCGCAAGATGTATTGAACTTCATATGGGAAAATAAGCTGGCAGATAGTGTCCCTAACACAGTTATTGCTCTTTGCATCCTCTTGACTCTCCCAGTTTCTGTGGCCAGTGGTGAGCGAAGCTTCTCTAAGCTCAAGTTGATAAAAACATACTTGCGAACATCAGTGTTGCAACAAAGACTTGTTGGGCTATCTATCTTGTCAATAGAACATGACATTGCTCACAGCATTGACTTGGAGGAACTTGTTTCTAAATTTGCTAAACTTAAAGCACGGAAACATAAATTCTAAATTATAACGTTACTCTGTGACAGTGTATTGTGTATAATATATGTGATTTATTTTAGGGGGGGATGCAAGGTGGAAGTTTCGCCTAGGGCGCAAAATATCCTTGCACCGGCCCTGCGGGGAGGTTGAGGGTTTCCAAGGAGATGCCATTCAATTCCCTATGGTGCCCACTGGGCGAGGCTTTAAGAGCCAGCCTTGGGCTTGGGGGGCTCCAGGTTGGATGAGCAGTTGAAACTCTCGCACATCCTTACCGTTACTTGGCTGCAGACCAGCTAGAAAATGGGGAACTGCTGCCCTATAGTCTTATGGCAGCCTCCCTGCCACGCATCTCAAAGCACTTGATAAGCCACCCCCGTGTTATTAATGACCTGTTGCAACTAGTCGACCTATACTGCTGATTTAAAACAGCGTGAGTCCATCCCCAATTGGCTATGTTTAAGGTGACCAGATGTCCAGATAAAATTGGGACTGTCCCGATATTTAACCCTTTGTCCCGCATCCCGATAAATGTATGATGGGATGCCATTTGTCCCAATATTCAGGTAAGGAGGCGAGTGGGAGGGAGGTGCTGACCCTGTGGGTGCTCCGGGGCTGGAGCACCCATGGAGAAAAATTGCAGCCAAGCTCCTCCCTCCTCCTCTCCCCCCAACGCGCCGCATCCCCACTCCTCCCCCCCTCCAGTGCTTCCCGCCGCCTACTAGCTGTTTGGCGGTGCTTAGCGCTTTCAAGGAGGGAGGGGGAGGAGCGGGGATGAGGCACGCTCGGGAGGAGGTGGAGAAGAGGCAGGGCAGGGACTTGGGGGAAGGGAGTGGAATGGGGGCGGGGCGAGGGCAGTGCAGAGGTGGGAGGAGGCGGGGGGTGGGCAAGCACCCACCCGGCAGAGGGGAAGTCGGCGCCGTAGGGGTGACTGGCGGGCGGGGGGGTGAGGAGGCGAGCGGTGGGTGGGGGACTGACGAGGGATGCAGCAAGCCAGCGGCAGGCCGGGGGATGAGGAAGGGCGTGGTGTGGGGGCTGAGCGGGGAGGGGGCGGGACCTGGGGCAGAGTGGGGGCCTAGCCTGGGAGGAGTGGGGGTGGACTGTGGGCAGGGCTGATATCAGAACACAGGGTGCCATTTTAGTGTGGTGATCTGGTCACCCTAGCTATGTTCCTTATGCATTTCTCATAAAAGAGGCTTGTGTCCCTTTTTAAAAATGTTGTAATGTATAAAGAAGGCAGGAAAACCTTTTTTCTATTTTTGTAAATCTGCTCATTTTCATTACAACACTTGACAACACTTTATACTCCAAACAAAAGAAGAGCTATGAAATTATGACACCAGAAGAGGATGAAGACTGGGAATAGTCAGACTAAAGTTTAAGACACCAGCTTTTATTAATATCTATTTAATATCAAAATCTAAGTATTTTGGAGGAATAACTTATTTGATAAATGTCTATCAAACTTATCCCTCCATTAAGGTGTGAGAAAGCTACCAATATCCATCTGAGGCCTCCAACAAGTCTTCTAGAAAAAAGGAAAACCAGGCTTGCCACTAATGATATTTCTAAAGTGAAAAACACAGCAAAAAGAAACATCTTGTAGGCTTTAAGCATCATAAAGAATAAAAAAAAGGACACAAAACCCATTTTAAAATTGCCCAGCCACTTCTAGGCTTTTCTAGGCAGCACTGAGGAGCCTGTGTGGTGCAGCTAGAATGTTCAGAAAATGAAACTGCAAGTGCCTTATAATTGCTAATTCCCATGTGCAAATAGCAATATTCCACATTTTATAACTCAGCCAAATCTGGATGGATTTTCATGGGGAGAGCACATGATACCATTACCCCAAGAACTATCCTCCCCTGCTGGTTTTTAAGGTCCTGTTCCAAACCGTGGAGTTAGATCTGTTAACTAACAAAGAAAGGTTGGATAAAGGCTAGGCTGGGGGGGAGAGAGATTATAATGAAAAAACTCCCTCTTTTTCACCTAACCTATATAAGCACTTATGAAATTCCCACTAGGCCTCTGTCTGCATACCTTTTAAAATCAGGCCCCAAGTGTTCAATTCTGCCAGCCTTATCCCAGTCTAACTGGGTGATAGAGGAAAGTGACATTGGAAGCCAGTGATGGACAGATGGTGGGAATTGAAATAAGGGTAGTGTCAGTAAGGTATAATGATTTTTATATTTAATTACCATACATACTATATCAAAGTGGGCCCCCTCATACACTACTTGGTACCCCTACTCCTTTGCTACATCCCATATTTACCTCATGACTTGACTCCTTTCTCCAGCTCCTCCTCAAGTCGTCTGAGTCTTGTCTCTAGCCATTCAGATAAAAAGCCTTACAAGACCCAAAAAGAACAGGAGTACTTGTGGCACCTTAGAGACTAACAAATTTA